ATGTATGGGCCGAAGACTTCGTTTTTTGTGCTTTTTATACCCTACACAACTATGTTGTCAGGGTATTATAGCTTTGTGCAGCCCTAAAAGTTTGTAACGCCGCGAAATATTGGTCCTAGGTCATATCTCGACTAGTTGAGTCGATCTAGACATGTGTGTCCGTCCGTCCGTCTGTCCATTATAATTTGTAAACACGATACAGGCCACAGTTATGGACCAATCTTCACGAAATTTTGCATGTAGGATGGGTTCTGACCAATGAAGACCCCTATTGTTTTTGGGAAAGTTCGGATAATATTTAGGGGATGAAATGGACCAAATACTAAATTTTTGTCGGTTTTTCTGGTCGCTCCAGAGGCCGCAATAATGGCCCGAACATCGTGAAATTTTGCATGGAGAAGGGGATCGGGCCAAAGAATAAGCATGCCTGCTTTGATAAAGATCGGTCAATATTTAGCGGGACAAATGGACCCTGACTTTTGTGTGAAAAATTACAAAATTGGTATTCTATATCATATAGATTTACCCCTGAAAAACATAGACCCGAGAAGTTGATATTATATCCAAGAGAAGTGGTTGACCTTTAAATTAGTACCAATTATATTGTTGTATGTGCTCGGATGTGGGAGTTACACCTAAATATTTACACGTATCTCCGTATTCGTATATTATTTAGTAACCCATTATGACTCTAGAGAGCGGAACTATAGCGCTGATCGCTTTGAAATGTTCCATGAGGTTTCAGTTATGGTCAAGGACAACGACTATCATTTTCGGTGATGATCAGATAATAATTTTGGAATGAAGTGGACCGAAAACTTAATTTTTTGTGTTTTTTTTTCGAATCGATCTATAGACCACAAATGAAAGCCGCACATCACAACACAACCCACGGTGAAGGGAATCTGGACAATAGCTGTACTGAATACTCGTAATATTCGGAAAATATGTCAGTGTTAGGAAGAGGAGCTGTTTACCTCTAATCGAGCAAGAGGGTGCAAATATTACGAAATATTGCCCAGGCTCGGAATAAACATCCGCAGAAAATTTGAGTTCCGTGGTAGTTGTGTAGGGTATCGTATGGTCGGCCCCGTCCGACTATACTGCTCCGCTCACTGGTTTTTTATTGCATTAAGAATGAACTCAAAGGTCGACTTATGTTGGTGCCTTACCCAAATTTTTGAAAATTTAAAAATCTCCTATGAGGTCAAGGGGATCGCATAATTTAAGATAGAGATTTGAAATATTGCACTGCTCCCAGTATGGTTGATATTGTAAATCTATATCGGTCCACTAGTTCGTATAGCGTATAAATACATGTTTTGGGATAGACTCCATATTGAGGTCCCGGCCAGTTTTTATACCCTTCACCATATTATGTCTTTGTGCATATGTTTGTAACAGGCAAAAGAAAACGAGATAGACCCATGGTTCCTTTTCAGAGTATGTATAGAATCACTTTCTGAGTCGATTTATGCATGTCTGTCTGTTTGTCCGATTTTAGGTGAATGGTGCATGAAACTATTCATGGTTGTTCGATTGACACCAAATTGTGCACAACGTTCTAAAGTTTAGTTTAGCCTAACATGTGTTAAGTTAAGGTATTAAATTGAGCCTATATATTGAACCAATGTTTACAACGGTTCAGATGCAAATATATATTTTCGACTGACTTCATGTTAATTGTCTACCAAATAATGAACTGGTGTCTGATTGAGATTAAATTTTGAACAGCGATCTGTGTTGTCCCACAAAAATGACTCTAAATCTGTCCTAATGAAATGGAATTTGTGTAATGCAGCCAATAGCTACCCATTGTATCAAATGTTAGCAAAATCGGTTGAAAAGCGCACTCAAGAACCCCAAAATACCGAAAATTTTGGACCCATATTTATTTATTTTTTTGTGGAGAAATTTGTTACCCAATAAGATCCAACGTACCAAATTTCAGTGAATTCGCTTGAAAAACACGCTCAAGAACCCCAAATATACCATACGATATAGGGCCACCCAGAGATGAATGGCAGGACTAAAATAATCAAAGACCCTAACCACTTCACAAAATTCAATGTGGTGTTGTTTCTAGGATAGGCTACATAGCAGACTATTTTTATTATTTTTTACTTGAAATAAAAAAACAATAATTTTGAAACTACGTTGATATGTTTCCTTGAAGTCCAAAGCTCTCAAGAGGAGTATCAGGAGAAATAATTGATTTTTGCAATTCGGTAATGAAATATAAACGAACCACCCCAGCATTACCATATAAGGATAGCTCACAAAATGGAAATAGCAAAATATAGCGCCACGCAGAGGAAAATTATTACACTATGTTAGCAAGGACTAAAACCACTACACACAAATATATATGGTGTTTTTCTAGGCAACGATAGATGGCAGGCACATCACCTAGGATAGACTACAGCTGAAACTAAACTAATCGTGCTTCGTTGAAGCCCTATGCTCCGTAGGGGAGTATCAGGAGAAATAATGTATATAAAAAATTAATCTCTCAATTCCGCAGATGAACTATATTCTGAACATATATGATATTCATATTAAAATCTTTAATACTTATATTCTCTTTCACATACATCTATCATGAATTGGGTAAGGATAATTTATGTTAATTATATAATATTGCATACTTTTGGGACAGTGTAACATTGCTTCGTTAAATTATAATTTTTTATGAACAATTTTAATTCCTTTAGATTTATTATAACCTACATAACTATATTGTAAGGGTATTATAGCTCTGTGTGGCCCAAGAGTTTATAATGCCATGAAAAATAATTGTTTATTTTTGTCGCTTTTTCTGGTCGCTCTAGAGGCCACAATTATGACTCCAACATCACCAGGAAGGGAATCTGGCCAAAGAATAAGCATGACTGTTTCGATGAAGATCGATCAATATTTAGCTGTTCAAATGGACCCAGACTTTTTTGTGATCAAATTTTTGTTTTATTGCGTAAATATTTACTTCGGGAAAACAAGATTTATGTGAGGGTTAGAAATGGAAGCTGTTGACTTATAATCGGTTATGAGGATGAAAATATCGCCAAATTTGCTCAGGCTCAGAAAAGTGTGGATTTTTAAAGAATATTTTTAGGACCACCAACAAGGCAGGGATTTTTGAAGGATATTTTTTGGGGCCCAATACAAGGATTTTTAAATAATATTTTTTAGAGCCTAATAAAAGGCGTAAATTTTTAAATGAATATTTTTTAGGGCCTAATACAAGGCGTGGATTTTTTAAAGAATATTTTTTGGGACCATCAACGAGGCGTGGATTTTTTTAAGAATATTTTTTGGGACCATCAACAAGGCGTGGATTTTTTAAAGAATATTTTTTGGGACCATCAACAAGGCGTGGATTTTTTAAAGAATATTTTTTGGGACCATCAACAAGGCGTGGATTTTTTAAAGAATATTTTTTGGGACCATCAACAAGGCGTGGATTTTTTAAAGAATATTTTTTGGGACCATCAACAAGGCGTGGATTTTTTAAAGAATATTTTTTGGGCGTGGATTTTTTAAAGAATATTTTTTGGAACCATCAACAAGGCGTGGATTTTTTAAAGAATATTTTTTGGAACCATCAACAAGGCGTGGATTTTTTAAAGAATATTTTTTGGAACCATGGATTTTTTGGAACCATCAACAAGGCGTGGATTTTTTAAAGAATATTTTTTGGGACCATCAACAAGGCGTGGATTTTTTAACGAATATTTTTTGGGACCATCAACAAGGCGTGGATTTTTTAATGAATATTTTTTTTGGGGCCATCAACAAGGCGTGGATTTTTTAAAGAATATTTTTTGGGACCATCAACAAGGCGTGGATTTTTTAAAGAATATTTTTTGGGACCATCAACAAGGCGTGGATTTTTTAAAGAATATTTTTTGGGACCATCAACAAGGCGTGGATTTTTTAAAGAATATTTTTTGGGACCATCAACAAGGCGTGGATTTTTTAAAGAATATTTTTTGGGACCATCAACAAGGCGTGGATTTTTTAAAGAATATTTTTTGGGACCATCAACAAGGCGTGGATTTTTGAAAGAATATTTTTTGGGACCATCAACGAGGCGTGGATTTTTTAAAGAATAAATTTTGGGACCATCAACAAGGCGTGGATTTTTTAAAGAATATTTTTTTGGGGCCATCAACAATGCGCGGATTTTTTAAAGAATATTTTTTTGGGGCCATCAACAAGGCGTGGCTTTTTAAAGAATATTTTTTCAAAGCAATTCAAATTTATTACAACATACTGCATACTTTTAGGGGCACATTAAATTAAATTATTATGGTATATTTTCTTTGGATATCACTTTAAAAATATTGTAGGAAAATCTACTTCTTAAAACTTGACTTTTAATTAATCATTTTGTTTTATTTTGTTTTATTTTTATTTATTTGTTTTTTTTTTTATTTCTGTAAAAAGAAAAAAAATATTTTAAAGCATCAAATCATGCAAAATTCGTAACATTTTCACAAGAACACTTTTATTATTTTTTATTTATTAGTTTTTTATTTATAAATTAATGTTGTTGTATTTTTTGTTTTTAATTAAACTATTTGCATCGTTCAACAATTTTTACACAATCCAGCATTGCCTCATTTCGCTACCGGTTTTACCTAAAGAACAAAGTGCTGGCGTTATCAGTTTAATATTTTTCTTTTCAAATTTTCATTTCAATATTTTTCGATATGATATTTTGCGTAGACATTTTGTTTTTACCTAAAAATTTGTTCTATATGTTTTTTTTTTTTTTTTTTTGTTTTAAATTTTCTGTGGTTTGGCTGTAACAAGAGAAAATTTTAAAAACCTAAGAAATAATTTAATTTTGTATAGGAAATAAAAAATTTTGTAAAATAATTTTGAAAATGTGTCCCATATTTCTTTTTTGTTTTTTTTTTTTAATAAATTTTAAATTTGAAAAATAAAATAATAATTGAAAAAATAAATTCTCTTTTTCGTTTGGTTGGCATACATACCTAAGGTTAGTTTTTCACCCGAATCGGGTGGTAATGTAAATCCTAATAAAGCCATCGATGATATCAGCACACACGGCACAATTAAATTAAAAAAATAATATAATGTCCGTCGTCGTATCTGTATTGTGAATGTCACATCGACATACGGCTCGGGACAGCAGGCATAGACGATGGTATTCTTTTTGCCCGGCATGCCTGGTTTGATGGTGATGGTGATGACGGATCCATAAAAGTTGAGTTGAGTTGTGATATTTTCAGGCGGGATATATGTTCGGTGTTCGGTTTGAAATTACAGTTGCGTTCAGGATCCCAGGGTATTTTTTCAGTTTTTGGTTTTTGGAAAAGTGGTAGTAATTTTATATTTCAATGAAATAAATTAGTAAAAATTTATGTTAAACATGATTTTTCGCACACACACACATACATATACAAGTAATTTATTGGATATACTGTGAAAATCCAGACATTTGAGTACGCACACACACACTTAAATATATATACACATACATACACACACATATATATAAAAGTCCATGCAAAAATAAAAATTAAAACGAATTACTCTTCTCTTCACTGTTGCCATGCAGATTCCATTTAATTGATCGTTAACATCGGCCAACTTGTTTAAATATTTATCGACAAAAATGAAAAACAAAAAACCGAAACGAAACTAAAATATTCACATGCCCAGTCATGCTATGCTACCTTAAGTGTATGCTATATATAAAATATATACATTTCAAGAGTTAAGTAACCAATTCAGTCAACAGGCAACAACAATTGGTCGTCGGTCCATTGTGGCACAAAGATTTTTGTTCGTTTAAAGGATTATTTCAGCCAGGGGGAAGTTTAAAAAAATCCATTACAAAAATGTTCATTACAAAAAATTAAAAAAAAGCCAATATCCGGGGCTTGAGTGTCATTTAAATAATTTAATAAAATTACAAACATGTTTTTTCAGAATACCTTTAAAATATGGGAACATATTTTCGAACGCCTAAAAGTATGCATCAGACATTGTGCATCAGGAATTTTTGACGAGTTTTCAAAGAAAAAAAATTCAGGAGAATATATAAGACGTGGATTTTTTAAATCCTTTTTCCAACACGTAATAAGGCGTGGATTTTTTAAATCCTTTTTTCCAACATCCAAAAAGACGTCTTAAGCCTACATAAGGAGTGGCTTTTTGGGGCCTACTAAAAGGCATAGATTTTTTAAAAATTTACGTTTTGGTCCTTCGACCTCAAAGAGAGCACATTTTTCCTTCGGAAATAAATTAAAACCAGTGAGCGAAGCAGTATAGTCGGACGGGGCCACGAAAAGCAAACGTTCTGTCGTTCTATATTCTGAGACTGGGCAATATTTCGTGATATTTGCACCCTCTTGATCCATTATAGGTCAACGAATATGTCAGGCTTAGAAAGTGGAGCCACTTTCTAAGCCTGGCATATTTTCCAAATTTTTGTTCTTGAAGTGAATTTTTACGCCATTTTATAAAAATATGATCACTTTAGGTTTTGGTTGATTTGACCCTCGGAATATTGACAGATCATCATCTAAACAGCCGCTCTAAGTATTTGGTCAGATCCCCTTCACCTTGTAAAATATGTGATGTTCTGCATATAATAATTGCCTCTAGAGCGTCTAGAAAATCTGACAAAATTAAAGTTTTCGGTTCATTACACCTCCTGAATGAAATCTTAACTTCACCGAAAACTATAGTCGTCGTCCTTGACCATAATCGGAAATTCATGTACAATTTCAAAGCGATCAGCGCGACATTTCCGTCCTCTAATGGAGTAATAGTAATACTCTGCACATAGTCACCTTTACCTAACTACGTATAACCATCACATCAGAGTACATACAGCCACATAATTGGTATCAATTTGAAGGACAACAACTCATCTTTGATATACTATCAACTTCTTGGGTATATGTCCTTCAGGATCAAGTATATACGCCCCAGAATAAAAATTTTGCAATTTTTCACACAAAAGTCAGGGTTCATTTGACCAGCTAAATATTGACCGATCTTTATCACAATAGGCAAGCTTATTCTTTGGCCCGATCCCCTTCTTCATGTAAAATTTCACGATGTTCGGACCATAATTGCGGAAAATCAGACAAAAATAAAGTTTTTGGTCCATTTCATCCCCTGAATATTAACCGATCTTTACTAAAAACAATAGGGGTCTTCATTGACCAGAACCCATCCTTCATGCAAAATTTCATGAATATTGGTCCATAACTGTGGCCTGTATCGTGTTTACAAATTATAATGGACAAACGGACGGACGGACACACATGTCTTGATCGACTCAGCTAGTCGAGATATGACGATCGGTATACTTAAAGGTGGGTCTAGGACTAATATTTCGTTACAAACTCTTGGGGCTGCACAAAGCTATAATACCCTGACAACATAGTTGTGTGTAGAGTATAAAAACGGAAGAAGGAAAACGAACATATATTAATTAATTGTTAGGAAATCGGATTTGAAGAGGGTAGCCGTAGAAATTGTGCCACCTCTAAGACTATAGGCAACAGACTCTTAGGCTCGGACGGACAATTGAATACGTAGTGTGCGTCGTGAGGGCTTTGCTGGCAGGAGGGACACCTGTTTAGGGTTCCGGAGATGCGCTTTTTTGTTTAGGAAGAAGCCTCTTACTTTCCGTAATTGTTGTTGTAGGACCTAAAATCGGCCCAGAGGATGCAAATATCGATAATTATTGCTCAGGGGCTCAGACTATAGAAGCGCAGAATGATAGGTTTTCATGGTTGTTTTTGTAACAGGTTGGGTATTGATGAATGTTCTTTCCTGAAAATGTTGATAGAAAAAAACGGAAGTAGGAAAACAAACATATATTAATTAATTGTTAGGAAATCGGATTTGAAGAAGGTTGTCGGAGAAATTGTGCCACCTCTAAGACTATAGGCAACAGACTCTTAGGCTCGGACGGACAATTGAATACATAGTGTGCGTCGCGATGGCTTTGCTAGCAGGAGGGACACCTGTTTAGGGTTCCAGGGATGCGCTTTTTTGGTTAGGAAGAAGCCTCTCACTTTCCGTAATTGTTGTTGTAGGACTTTATTGCATCTGTTGCCATTTATGGCTTCGGAGACCGCCAATTGATGCACGGATTTCATCGCGTTCGCTATCGACAATCTGTTGACGTCCGATGGAATGGCGTCTTGGATGCCATCACTATAGTGCCTGAAGTCCTGGCGGATGAGTCGCGGAGGTGAATCTGCCACCACTGTGTAATGGTTAGAATGACAGGGCAGATAGCATGCCAGCATGAACTGTCTAGTCAACAACACATTATGTTGCTTAACCAGAGATGGCCTGTCAGAAACAGTGACGTAAATGATATACATTTCCGACGTATAATGCATACATCAGAAACGTCGGAAACCTACCCAAATCCATTAGGTTTTTGACGAAATAGCTATTTCCATTAATCAATTTGGAAATTACGCATGTTTTACTCAAATCCATATAAAATCTCAAAAAAATTTAGAATTTTTTTTAGTTCTAGTAAGGATACATGTAAAAATAATATATATTCTTGAAAATAACTGTATATGCTGATAATATTGATATAAATGACATTTACTACTTTTATTACATTTTATACAGGTATATGACGTTTTCGACGTTTACACTTTTTGACAGTCGAAAACCTAAAAATACGTCACACGGACCATCCCTGTGCTTGACTGACAGCATTCTGGTCTCCTCATGGAGGTGATCGACGCTCTTCATCTGGACACAGCCGATTGCAATTCGGAGTGCATTATTTTGGGTTGTTTGCAAGGATCTCCATTGTATGTCCTTGCCCCAGGAGGTACCAGTCAAAGCTTTCAGAACTTTATTCCTAGCTTTCACCTTCAGGCTGATGTAATTGGAATTCGAGGAGAAATAAAGCTGTACCAAACGAAAGGTATTCATGGGAGTTGTGTATGGTCGGTCCCGTGCTCACTGCTTTCGTCTTGCTCTTTTTAATGGAACAAGCTCATGTTTTTAATCGATGTGTGCATGTCCAGCGCCGCTTCCTTTATGTAGAGCAAAATCAAACCCTATTGAAATTGATGCAAATCGGATATGTTGCTACAAATATATAAGTACGTTCGATTTAATTTTATTTTCTCAGTGGATAAGGGGTATAGCTTAGGTCTTCATTCGAACTTTCTTGCATGGTTTTATTCCTATATCACAGGCAGAGTGTGGAAAGTAGTAATAGATAGATGTGCATCAAGGTAGTATCCTTGGGCCAATTCTTTTCAATGTATTCTTTAATGATATATCAAAATGTTTCCATAGCTCTAATTTCCTCTTATATGCGGATGATCTCCAAATTTTTAAAAAAGTCGAATCGTTTCATGATCTTATCAATTTAGTTGTGTGGTGTGAGGAGAATAAGCTTGAGTTAAACATTCCAAAATGTTCCCATGTTTCATTTTATATGTGTTTAAACCCAATCCAATCAAATTTTAAGATTGGAAATAATATTCTGAAAACATCAAATAGCATCTTAGATTTAGGATAGATTTAGGATGCTTGATACGTCTTTGTTTTTTGTTCCGCATTTGGACTACATAATTTCTGAAAACTACAAGGTACTTGCTTTTGTAAAAAGAAATTGCGCAGAATTTTCTGATCCTTATACAAAAAAAAAAAAAAAAACAGTGAGCGGAGCAGTATAGTCGAACGGGGCCGACCATACGATACTCTACACAACTTCAATGAAAATCTAACTTTCTGTGGTTCTATATTCTGAGATTGGGCAATATTTCGCTATATTTGCACACTTTTGACTGGCTAGTGGTCAGCAAATGTTACTAATAATCAGTACAGCCCCTCTACATACTTGTCCAGATTCCCTTCACCGTGGGTTGTGTTGTGATGTTCGGCTTTCGACTCGAAAAATACAAATAATTAAGTTTTCGGTCCACTTCATCCAAAAAATTATTATCTGATCATCACCTAACATTTTAGGCGCTGTCCTTGACCATAACTGGAACCTCATGGAACATTTCAAAGCGATCCGCGCTATATTTCCGCCCTCCAGTGTGGTAATAAGTTATTAAATAATATCTGAATACGTAAGCACCTGTAAATATTTAAGTGTAACAACCGCATCCGAGTTCCTACGACAATATAATTGGTATCAATTAAAAGATCAACCACTCCTCTTGGATATACTATCAACTTCTCGGGTCTACGTCCTTCAGTGGTAAATATATACGCTATAGAATACAAATGTTGTCATTTTTCACATAAAAGTTAGGGTCCATTTCACCCGCTAAATACTGACCGATCTTTGGCAGAACAGGCATGCTTATTCTATGGCCCGATCCCCTTCTCCATGAAAAAAATCGCGATGTTTCGATCATAATTGCGGCCTCTGGAGCGACCATCACCTAAATACTAACTGCTCTATTCCAAAAACAATAGGGGTCTTCATTGACCACAACCCATCCTACATGCAAAATTTCGTGAAGATTGGTCCATAACTGTGGCCTGTTCGTGTTTACAAATTATAATGGACAGACGGACGGACGGACGGACGGACACACATGTCTAGATCGACTCAGCTAGTCGAGATATGACGATCGGTATACTTGAAGGTGGGTCTAGGACCAATATTTCGCGGCGTTACAAACTCTTGGGGCTGCACAAAGCTATAATACCCTGACAACATAGTTGTGTAGGGTATAAAAATCGTAATGGCCTGAGTGACGACAAACAGAGAAGAATGGTAAGACTAACTAACCAAGGATCACAGCCACTGTAATGCGCACTCAAGGGGGCGTTTTTTTATTAGTTAACGATAGATGGCAATCCCATTAACTGGGACAGGCTACAGAAGACCAATCCTCTACTTAGCTGGAATAAAAAAAATGTGGTTTTCAGTCTTTGAAAACTCAGAACAAATGACCAATTGTTGCAGACAAAAAAATGTTTACAGAAATATTTTCATAACTCGAACCAATGTTGTCTGAAAAAAAAATCAACATATGAGGACTTCGAGTTATGAAATTAATTATAATTTGTGCTACTGTCAAATTAGCATTATTTAAGTTCGATTGTATGTACATATACATTAATTATGATATATATACAAAATTAAAAATAATCATGCAGGTTGTACAAAACACATACACATCAAACACAATTCATAATTATAAAAATGCAATCATTTATAAAAAATGTTAACATAGAGCAGGATTTTTTCCTACGACCACAAAATTTGGGTGCTCACAGTCGATTTGACTGATCCTACTCTACATATTAATAAAAAAATTTAATGCAGAAATATTGTAAATAAAAATTGACCAATTGTTTTTAATAATGTTAAATGGCGCCCAACGTTTTGGTCCTTTGACCTCAAGTTGGTAGATGGTTTTCATTAAAATTAAATAAAAAAGATTAAAGTCCATTCGCTTGACCTCACTCTAGAATTTAATTAAATTTCAATGCAAAAATATATTTAAATCAAAATGTGCCAATTTTTTATTTTTTTAATATATGTAAACGGCGCCCAACGTATGAAAAATAGACAACAGAATAAATAGTTTTTTCTTTCAATTTTTAATATGAAAAACAATTATAAAAGGCAGTATCTCTTGAAATGGTAACAAACATCATGCATATATTTAAGTTTTATACAAATATAGGAACTTTTTAAAAAAATAATTTTTTATAATAAATTTTATCACAAATAAATAAAAAAATATAATCAATTTAAAATTGTTATATATTTACATATAAATACACAAATATAAAAAAATAAAATATATTTTTAAAATTTGTATTTTCAAAAATAAAAATTCAATAAATTTCAATTTAATTGCCAAAATATTAAAAAAGGACGAAAAACTTAAAAACAATAGACTTTGGTTATAAATAGACAACTAAAATAAAAATATATTTTGGACATAGAACACAGACAAAAATATTTTTTGGATTTTTTCTTGGACAGATAGACAGTTAGAAATAACAGAGAACATAGAAGAGTGTAAGAGTTTAAAAAATGGAAACAAACAAACAGACAGACAGATAGACAAACAAAATTTGTTTGAACAAACAAAAAAATAAATTGTTGTTGTTTATTTTACTAACCGATTAAATACCATTCGCCGTTTGTTATAAAATCGGATAGATCCCCTCCATCATCGGAATTCAAAACCAAATCCAACTGTGTGTTGTTTTGAAACAATTAAATGTTTTCGTTTCGTTTTTATGGATTTTTCAATATTTGAACATATTGAAAAATTTGTTTGAGACGAACGAACACACACACACAGCAAAAACATATTTTCCACAGGAACATTTTTTTGGGTTGTTGTGGTGGTAGTGGTGGTTTGAAAGAAAAGTAGTAGTTGTTGTTGGTTGGTTATTAATGATTTTTATAGAAAATATGTTTTTTTTTTCAACATTATTAATTGCAATATTTTATATTTGAGATGAATATTCCAAAATGAAAAGTTATTTTTTGTTGTTGTTTGATGGGTTTGAAATTAAAAAAAAAAAAACAAAAATCAAGGAAAAGAAAATGGAACTTAAAAATGTGTAAAAAGGGGTTTTTGTAAAAAATTGGTTTTTGGGAGAAAAGAATATTTTTTTTCTTGCCTTTGGTTCGGTTGTGTATTTTGGGATTTACAGATTTTTGGCGATTCTGAATAATTGAAAAAAATTGACCTTGGGAGTTCAAAAATTAGAAAAAAAAATATTTTACAAAATTTACAAGAAGAGATGGATGATGAAATTCAGCTATACAGAGGAGATTGAGGCTCAAACTCCTGTATACAGCCAAGATTTGACGACCAAACTCGCCTCTGCAGCTGAGTTTGATGATCTAACTACCTTATGCTCAAACTCAACTGTATAGGTGAGTTTCATCCCCAAACTCAACTGTATAGGTGAGTTTGATGATCTAACTCCCTTATATAAGTGAGTTTGAGGAACTAACTCCCTTATATAGGTGAGTTTGAGGATCAAATCTCACCTATACAGTTGAGTTCGAGGATCAAACTCACCTATACAGTTGAGTTTGGGGATGAAACTCACCTATACAGTTGAGTTTGAGCATCAAACTCACTTATACAGTTGAGTTTGGGGATCAAACTCCGCTATAGACTTGAGTGTGATGATCAAACTTGCCTATACAGTTGAGTTTGATACTCAAACTTGCCTATATACTTGAGTTTGATTATCATACTCGCCTATACAGTTGAGTTTGATAATCAAACTCTCCTATGCATTTGGGTTTCAAGATCAAACTAGCCTATATAGATCAGTTTGATGATTGAACTCGCCTTTGCAGTTGAGTTTGATGGTCAAACTCGCCTATAGAGTTGAGTATGATGGTCAAACTCACTTATTCAGCCAAGTTTGATAATCAAACTCGCCTATACAGTTGAGTTTGATAATCAAACTCGTCTTTGCAGTTGAGTTTGATACTCAAACTCGCCTATAGAGTTGAGTTTGATGGTCAAACTCACTTGTTCAGCCAAGTATGATTATCAAACTAGCCTATACAATTGAGTTTTATGATCAAACCAGCCTATACAATTGAGTTGGACAATCAAACTCTCCTCCATAGTTGAGTATGATGATCAAAATCACCTATACAGTCAAGTTTGATCATGACACTTATCTCTCTAGCTGAGTTTGATGATCAAACTCACCTCTACGTCTAAGTTTGTTGATAAAACTCTCCTATACATTTGACTTTGATATTTAAACTTATCTATACAGACGATTTTGATGTCTATACAGCTGAGTTTTACAATCAAACTCGCCTATACAGTTGAGTTTGATAATCAAAGTCGCCTATACAGTTGAGTTTTACAATCAAACTCACCTATACATTTGAGTTTGATTATCAAACTCACCTATACATTTGAGTTTGATAATCAAACTCACCTATACATTTGAGTTTGATAATCAAACTCACCTATACATTTGAGTTTGATAATCAAACTCGCCTAAACAGTTGAGTTTGATAATCAAACTCGCATTCACAGTCAAGTTTGATTATCAAACTCACCTCTGCAAACAAGTTTCATGATCAAAATTAGCTCTACAGCCATGTTTGATAATCAAACTCACCTCCACAGTTAAGTTTGATGATCAAACTCACCTCTACAGCTATGTTAGATTATTAAACTCACCTCTACAGCCAAGTTTGATTATCAAACCCACCTCTGCAGACAAGTTTCATGATCAAACTCACCTCGGCAGCCAAGTGTGATGATCAAACTTAGCTCTACAGCCACGTTTAATAATCGAACTCACCTCTACAGCCAAGTTTGATGATCAAACTCACCTCTACAGACAAGTTTAATGATCAAACTCACCTCTACAGCTAAGTTTGATTATCAAACTCACCTCTACAGCTAAGTTTGATTATCAATCTCACCTCTACAGCTATGTTATATTATTAATCTCACCTCTACACACAAGTTTAATGATCAAACTCACCTCTACAGCTAAGTTTGATTATCAAACTCACCTCTACAGCTATGTTAGATTATTAAACTCACCCCTGCAGCCAAGATTGATGATCAAACTCACCTCGATAGACAAGTTTTATGATCACACTCACCTCTACAGCTATGTTTGATTATCAAACTCACCTCTACAGCCAAGTTGGATGATCAAACTCACCTCTGCAGCCAAGTTTGATGATCAAACTCACCTCCATAGCCAAGTTTGATGGTCAAACTCACCTCCATAGCCATGTTTGATAATCAAATTCATCTCTACAGTCAAGATTCATCTCTACAGTCAAGATCATCAAACTCCCCTCTGCTGCCATGTTTGATGATAAAGTGTATCTATTTGGATTATTTTTATGTTCAAACTTATATTTTAAAATTATTGCAAGCCACATATATACAAAAAATCCGGTATGACTTCCCTCCCAAGGCTTTCAATTATTCGAAGAAAAAAAAATTAACTACAAAAAATCAAAACCATTTTCTTAAAAAAACGAAAAACCAAGGGTAAATATTACCGTAAAAACTAAGGGCGAATAAAGAGAGTCAAAAAGAGCCATAAAGAGCGAGAGAGAAAGAGAGTGTGAGAAAAATTGTAAATCATAGTTTAAACCGTAAAATTTACCCTTAGTTGTAACTGTAAAATCCTTTCAAACCTCGAAAGAAAAAGCAAAAATATTCTTTTCTCCGCCTTTTTGGAAATTTTTCTAAAAAGTACTGTAAGTTTGTGTAAGTGTTGGTGTGTGTATTCAATATTTTTTTTTGTTTTCAAAATTTCATTAAGAGTCTTTACAAACGTTAAAAATTTTGTATTCCAATTTGTGTCCATCGAACAACTTTCAAGCTGTCGCATCATTTTTCTTTGATATTTTTTTTCAAATTCATTGAACAAATTTTCTACAAAATTTTTAATTAGTGGTTGCATTTTATAAAACTGTTTATCAGTGAAATCGCTGTAACGATTTCAGCTGTCAGTTTTATTTTCGATTTTCTGTTTTTTTTTGTATTTATTATTCTGTTGCTGTCATGCAAAATAGTTGAAATGAATTTTTTCATTTGAATTGATTTCTTTAATAGAAATAAAAAAAAATTGAGATTTTTTTTGTGTTTTTGAAAAAAGTTATTTCACACATGATTCCAATTAAGACCTTTGTTTTTTTTTCATGGAGGTTGGGTTGTTGTTCTTTGTTGTTGGCGTAGCTGAACGTGATCGGGTTTTTTTGGCTTTAATATTTGTAGAAATATTGAGTTTTTCATTTTTGTTTTGTTATTTGAAGTTTTACGTAGAAAATTTGTAGGTGTACTCTTTTTGTTGTCTTTGTTATTTTTGTTTTTAGTGTATTGCAAGTGTATTTGTTTCAGTAAAAAAATATTATTAATTGAAAAATATGGTGGGTTGGATGGGCGAACAGTGAATATCTTATACAACAGATAAAGTATTTGAGTGTCAAACTCATCCATGCAGGCAAGTTTGATGGTCAAACTCATCTATAAAGCCTTGTTTGATGATCTAACTCACCTCTACAGGCAAGTTTGATGATCAAACCAACATCTGTAGCTAAGTTTGATGATCAAACTCACCTCTAAAAACAAGTTTGATAATCAAACCCACCTCTACAACCAAGTTTGTTAATCAAACTCCACCTTACACCCATTGTTTGATGATCAAACACACCTCTGCATCCATGATTGATAATCAAACTCACCCCTACATCCAAGTTTGATTGTCAAATTCACTTGTATAGCCAAGTTTGATTGTCAAATTCACTTGTACAGCCAAGTTTGATAATCAAACTAACCTCTTCAGCTATGTTTGATAATCAAACTCACCTATGCAGTTCAATTTAGTAATCAAACTCACCTACACAGTTCGGTTTGAAAAACGATCTCCTATTTATAGATAAGTTTGATGATCAAACACACCTTTGCAGCAGATTTCGTTGATAAAGCTCACCCACACAGCCAAGTTTGATGATCAAACTCACCTCTACTGCCTAGATTGATAATCAAACTCACCTATACAGTTGAGTTTGATAATCAAACTTACCTATACAGTTGAGTTTGATAATCAAACTTACCTATACAGTTGAGTATGATAACAAACTACACAGTTGAGTTTGATAATCAAACTCGCCTATACAGTTGAGTTTGATAATCAAACTCGCCTATACAGTTGAGTTTGATAATCAAACTCGCCTATACAGTTGAGTTTGATAATCAAACTCGCCTATACAGTTGAGTTTGATAATCAAACTCGCCTATACAGTTGAGTTTGATAATCAAACTTACCTATACAGTTGAGTTTGAGGATCAAACTCACCTATACAGTTGAGTTTGAGGATCAAACTCACCTATACAGTTGAGTTTGAGGATCAAACTCACCTATACAGTTGAGTTTGATAATCAAACTCACCTATACAGTTGAGTTTGATAATCAAACTCACCTATACAGTTGAGTTTGATAATCAAACTCACCTATACAGTTGAGTTTGATAATCAAACTCACCTATACAGTTGAGTTTGATAATCAAACTCACCTATACAGTTGAGTTTGATAATCAAACTCACCGATACAGTTGAGTTTGATAATCAAACTCACCTATATTGTTGAGTTTGATAATCAAACTCATCTATATTGTTGAGTTTGATAAACAAACTCACTATACAGTTGAGTGAGTTTGATTATCAAACTCAACCTATACAGTTTGATAATCAAACTCAACTGTATAGGTGAGTTTGGTAAACAAACTCACCCATACAGGCAAGTTTGACTATCATACTCACCTCTACAGCCAAGTTCGATAATCTAACTCATCTATACCGACAAGTTTTATGTTCAAACCCCTTTCCACCTTTTCTATAAAATATCCACTGTACCTCCATCACAAAATAAAATTCATCACGTGTTGTAGTGTATTAGAAAATTGTGTTCGTAGGTTGCAAACATAAATATTTATGTTCACACGTGTGTTTTTAAATAAAAAAAGAAAAAAAAAATAAAAAAATATCTTCGTATTTATATCTGGTTTTGCAATTCACAAAAACGCAGTGGATTGTTAATAATTTTCTCTTTTTTTTTGTTGGTTAGTATTTTTTTTGTTGTTGTAAAAAAATAGAAATATTGAAATTAGAATTTCATAAAAAATAGAGTTAATTGGAAACAGTTTTTTTCTGAGCGGTGTGGAAATATTTAAAGGTGTTGTCAGTTAAAAAAAAATAAGTAAATAAATTAGAAATCGGTATTGAGAAAAATGTTGCAAGAAAAAATAAATGTTTGATGTTGCGTGGCAAGGTCCAAAGGGGGAAGTAGAATTTTCAATTAAATTTTCAATAATTTTCTGTAGGATTTAATTTATTTTTTTTTTAATTAAACTCCTTAAAAAGAGGGATGTTTGGGAAAATTATTTTTTATATTTTGATTTTAGTCATCAAACCTCATATTATACTCGAGTTTGACCTTTAAACTACCCAAAATTGATGGATTTCATCATCGAACTCCTTTAAGAAAATTAGTTGGATCATCAAACTCTTCGGTATTTGGTAGAATTGGTCATCAAACTCTTCTGGATTTTTTTTTATATATTGATTTTTATCATCAAACTTCATACTATCCATGAGATTGACCACAAAATATCTGAGTTTGATCATCGAACTCTGCCATAAAATTTAGTTCGATCATGCCATAAAATTTAGTTCATTTATGGATTTGATCATCGAACTCCTTTAAGAAAATTAGTTGGATCATCAAACTCCTCTGTATGTGGTAGATGTGGTCATCAAACTCCTCTGGATATTTTTTATATATAGATTGTTATCATCAAACTTCATACCATCCATGAGATTGACCACAAAATATCTGAGTTTGATCATCAAACTCTTCCATAAAATTTAGTTCGATCATCATGCCATACAATTTAGTTCATTTATGGATTTGATCATCGAACTCCTTTAAGAAAATTAGTTCGATCATTAAACTCCACTGTATTTTGTAGATTTGGTCATCAAACTCCTCTGTGTGTTTAAAGTTGGCCATAAAACTCCATTCCTACAATAGAGGTTTGATTATCATAACCTCCTTTATACACATGAGTTTGTTTATCAAACTCTTTTTTACCATGCAGGTTTGATGACCAAAAATCCATATTAAAATTGAAATTATTGAAATTTGAATTTTCCCATACCCTTCCCCTTTTCCCTGAAACCGTGCCCATCATACAAAAAAAAAATAAGTTGAGTGTTTGAAAGGAAAAATTTGTAATAAAAAATTGATGGTGTTGTGATTGGTTGCAGTTAGGTTTGATGGTATATTTCTTTTGTAAAAACAAATATTTTTTGTTGTTACAATGATATGTGTGAATAAAAATGTTTTTTTTTTTTTTCTGTATGGAAATATAAAAACGTGAGAGAGAAATTCATTGTCACTTCAAACCAAGGAAGATGTCATTGTGGTTTGAAAAACAAATTTCCCATGTTATTGTTGTTGTATGTTTGATGTTGTGATAGTGTTTTAAAGATTCCCTGTCTTTTTTGTTATAAATGTTACATACACATTTTTTACACACACACACTTTACCTGATTTCCATCATAAGTCCAACTACCGAATTTCATTTCGCAGTGTTGGTCATCGAATGGGAACCACGTGATGTCTATCTTGCATGTGCTCTTGAAGATGCCAGGGGGCACGTACAGACAATTGCCGTTATGTTTGACCACAATGTTGGTGTGATACGTGCCATCGAATCCCTCATCAGCACTAAAGGTTGTTTTTTTGTTTATATATATAAATTGTATTTTTTTTAATTTGAGTTTGTGGTAGGAGGAGTGGGTTTTTAATTATACATATTACAAATAATTAAAATTATTTTTTTTAATTTATATATAATTTCGTTTGGGGAAATTTACTTAGAGGCTAACTTAGGTGAATATATAATTACTTAAAATAACTTAAATATAATTATTTCATACAAATAATGCTTTCAATTGCTCAGAACAAGGCATGGATTATTAAAAAATATTTTTTTAAGCAATCTTTACCAGGCGTGGATTTTTTTAAAAACTATTTCTTGAGAGGCTCCAACAAGGCGTGGATTTTTATAAAACTATTTTTAGAGAGACTCCTACAAGGCGTGGATTTTTTTAAAAACTTTTTTTTGAGAGACTCCTACAAGGCGTGGATTTTTTTAAAAACTATTTTTTGAGAGACTCCAACAAGGCGTAGATTTTTTTAAAAACTATTTTTTGAGAGACTCCTACAAGACGTAGATATTTTTAAAACTATTTTTTGAGAGACTCCTATATGGCGTGGATTTTTTTAAAAACTATTTTTTGAGAGACTGCTGTAAGGCGTGGATTTTTTAAAAACTATTTTTTGAGAGACTCCAACAAGGCGTGGATTTTTTAAAAACTATTTTTTGAGAGACTCCTATATGGCGTGGATTTTTTTAAAAACTATTTTTTGAGAGACTCCTGCAAGGCGTGGTTTTTTTAAAAACTATTTTTTGAGAGACTCCAACAAGGCGTGGATTTTTTTAAAAACTATTTTTTGAGAGACTTAACAAGGCGTGGATTTTTTTAAAAACTATTTTTTGAGAGACTTAACAAGGCGTGGATTTTTTTAAAAACTTTTTTTTGAGAGACTTAGCAAGGCGTGGATTTTTTTAAAAACTATTTTTTGAGGGAATCCTGCAAGAGTTGAATTTTCATATTACCCTTTACAAAACTATTACGTTGAAATCTCAAAAAGGAAACAATCACAACACGTGCCAATAAAAAAGAAGGAATTAAGTCAATTTACCAAACTTTCAATGAATGGTGGGTGGCCAACAAATATCGCACTCAATTCAGCTCAAAAGTATGCTACATACTTCTTTCCTCTTCTCCGAACCAAAAAAAAAATACAATAAAGAAAATAGCATAAAAACTTTTGTCGATTGAAAGTTAAAAGCCAAAGAAATTGTTGCACAAAGGAATACTGCAAATACCAATATGGCAATAACAGAAATCCTTCGCTCGACTTCATCTATATATTCATATGAGTATTAACAACAACAACGAGGACAACAATTGCGAAAATTCTTTACACTCAAACGGAAATATTTTTTAAAACAGGATTTTTTGTTGGGCGCCACACACACACACATAGAAAATGCCTACATCACTGAGTGAGTGACTAAGTGACTGCTGGGTTGACTCAATGGCTGGCTGACTGGTTTTTTGCCTGGCTGCTGCTGCTGCTGCTTGGCCACTATAGCAAACGAAACGAATCGGAAACAATATAACGCACTTAACATGGCCATTGGCAATAAAAATGATTTATAAGCTTCAAAATACCGGACCATATTGTATATAAAAACTTGTGACCTGCATGCAAGCCAGCCAGGCGAAGAGGGCGGTTTGGTTACACGAATTCTGCCAGTTGACATTTTCTGTTGACGTTATTGCGAAAAATCCCAACCAAGTGAATGGCTTGCCATGCCCCATTTAAAAAAAAGGGTGACAGAACTGATGTGACCATAAAATAATAATAAAAAAATATATTTAATGGCCGTGTTGATGGCAAATCGATGTACTTATATTTTCTTTATGGCTGTCATAAAAATCTGATCATATACATATATGTGGTGACCACAAAACTAATAGGGTTAGTGGGAGACTACAACTAGTAAAACTGCAATTGTATTGAATTTCTATTTGAAAGGGAATTTTAAATGCAGCTGTTCGCCTGAAAGTATGCACCAGATTTGATTTTATTAATAAATATATTAAAAGGTAGGTGGAAATAAATAAATTTTATTTTAGGGACCATCCTCACAACTGGATTTAAAAAAAATTTAGGGATTGATGTAAAAAAAAAAATTATGGGCCGCTGATAGGCGTGGATTTTTAAATAAATATTTTTATGGACCCTTGATAGGCGTGGATTTTTAAATAAATATTTTTATGGACCCTTGATAGGCGTGGATTTTTACCATTGCAACAATGTTTAAAAATAGTAGTTATTTTTAAATCACAATATTTCCACTTTGACCCTTGCAAAGTGTGGATTTTTAAAGTAAATATTTTTATGGACAACTTGATAGGCTCCAGTTTTTAAATGGCAATATTTTTATGTAACAAAAACAACAACAACTCGGCATTTTTAAAGCAAATATTTGTTGGAGACAAGGCGAAAAAATTTTTATTTACAATATTTTTATGGACTTGACTGCACTGCTCTGTCATTACTATCAATTACACAAACAGTTTTGTTTTGTTAACAAAACTTCGGTATTGAAACAAACAAAAACTAGAGGGGTGAGAGGATAGGGAAAACACTATTGAAAATTTACATAGATGGTAACAGAAGTGCAATACAAAGTCCCTTAAAACATATTTTTTAATCGGACGAATATATATGAATATGTGGGTGCTATATGATAGGCGTGGATTTTCCCGAAACAACCAAATATTTTTAGACCAATTCATTACGCTATGCCAAATTTTTAAATCGAAATATTTTTAGGAACTTGATAGGCGTGGATTTTTAAATAAATATTTTTATGGAAAATATATAGGCGTGGATTTTTAAATATATATGGGAGTGGATTTTAAATGGACCCGATCTTCGTGGATTTTTAACACACATCATATTAATTTAGGACCCTTGCAAAAGGCGTGGATTTTTAAATAAATATTTTTTATGGACCCTTGATAGGCGTGGATTTTTAAATAAATATATATATGGAGTTATATAATCGTGGATTTTTACGAAACTTAACACACATATTTTTAGACTTAATTTATAGGCTATGCCAAATTTCGATTTTTAAATCGAAAGATATATGGACCCTTGATAGGCGTGGATTTTTAAAATAAATAATATATATGGAGCTATATCTAACTCGGAACCGATTTTCCCGAAACACACCACTCATCATTCTAGACTCAATTCAGTACGATATGCCAAATTTCGAGCAAATCGAAACACAAACAAAGACTTTGGTGCACCATTTACCTAAAATCGGACGAAAATATATATGGGAGCTATATGGAAATCTGAACCGATTTTCCCGAAACACACCACTCATCATTCCAAATAAATATTTTTATGGACCCCTGATAGGCGTGGATTTTTAAATAAATATTTTTATGGACCCTTGATAGGCGTGGATTCACCATTTAATGTAAATCGGTGAAAATATATAGGAGCTATATCTAAATCTGAACCGAAATTTTTCCCAATTTCAATTGGGTTTGTCCTTGGGCCAAATAAGTGACGTATGCCAAATTTCATCCAATTCGGATAATAAATGCGACCTGTACTTTGTTTACAATTTTACATCGACATACGGACGGACGAACGGACGGACATGTATAAATCGACTCAGAAAGTGATTCTATGCATATTCTCAAAAGCAACCGTGGGTCTATCTCGATTATTTTTGCCTGTTACAAACATATGCACAAGGACATAATACCCTGTACCACAGTGTGGTGAAGGGTATAAAAAGGGGATTATATGGGGACTACACCAAAAAGGGGGCGAATATAAATAATTTTTAGTAGGGAGATTTGTTACCATATACGACTACAAAATACCAAATTGCAGCAAATTCGGTTGAAAAACGCCCTCAAGAACCCCAAAATACCGAAAATTGGGGGTACCCTTATATGGGGGCTATCCGAAAAAATGGACCTATTTTCATAATTTTTGGTGGAGAGATTTGGTACCTATTAAAAACTCAAAATACTAAATTACAGCTAATTCGGCGGAAAAATACGATCAAAACCCCCACAATACTGAAAATTAAGAGTTACCGTTCAGCGAATTCGGTTGAAAAACACGCTCAAGAACCCCAAAATACCGAAAATATGGGGATACCCTTATATGGGAGCTAGGCCTAAATGTGGACCGATGAAGCCCATCTTCGAACTTAACCTGCCTGCAGGCAAACGACGACTCTATGCAAAATTTTGGCGATATAACTCAATTCGTTTAGACGCTAGAGTGATTACAATAGACAGACATGCGGACATGGCCATATCGTCATAGAATTTTACGCTGATCAAGAATATATATATTTTATAGGGTCGGAAATGATTATTTCGATGAGTTACAAACGGAAAAACAAAATTAATATACCCTCCATACTATGGTGGAGGGTATAAAAATAGAACACAGCAAGCGGAGCAGTATAGTCGGACGGTGCCGACCATACGATACCCTACAGAAACTACCAGGAAACTCTAACATTCTGCGGATTTTTATTCCGAGCCTGGGCAATATATCTAGATAGTTGCACTCTCTTGCCCGATTAGAGGTCAACTGCACCTCTTCCTTACACTGGCGAATATTACTAATATTCAGTACAGTCCTTCTAATTACATGTTCATATTCGCTTCACCGTGGGTTGCGTTGTGATGTTCGGCTTATAACAGTGGCCAATAGATCGATTCGAAAAAAAAAACACAAAATAATAAGTTTTTGTTCCACTTCATACCAAAATTATTATCTGATCATCGCCGAAAATTATAGGCGTTGTCCTTGACAATAACTGGAACCTCATGGAACCTGAAAGCGATCAGCGCTATTTTTCCGCCCTGTAGTATTGTAATGTGTTACTAAATAATATCTGAATACGTAAGGACCTATAAATATTTACGTGTAACTCCCATATCTGAGTACATACGACCATTTAATTTTTAGCATTCTTCTTGGATATACTATCAACTTCTCGGGTATATGTCCTTCAGGTGCAAATATATACGCCAAAG